CTGGTGATTGGCCCAAAGTCACCCAGCTGGCTTTCATGCTTAAGGTGGGACTAGAACTCTCTGTCTCCTGGTGATTGGCCCAAAGTCACCCAGCTGGCTTTCATGCTTAAGGTGGGACTAGAACTCTCTGTCTCCTGGTGATTGGCCCAAAGTCATTCATCCGCCTTTCATGCTTAGGGCGGGACTAGAACTCACTGTCTCCTGATAACTGGGCCTGTCACCCAGCCGACCTTTCATGCCTAAGAGGGGACTAGAACTCTCCAGCCTTATCTACCCTGTTACAGAGATCGGTTTACTAGGCCGAAGAAGACCTAGCTTGATTTAGTGTGATGTGCAAACCCAGGGGGCGCTCTGAGTGTGGAAGGTTCTAGAGTCCCATTCATCTTTTCAGGATACCTAGAGTCCCGACATCATGGATATTTCGGCTTTCGTCATCAAAAAAGAGCATTTTATGAAACGGGATGCCGCTCTGTTGATGCAACCTGGAGGGGACACAAAGAGAGCATTGAAGGGAGAATCATAAGGCTGGAAGGGACTCCCGAGATCTTCTAGTCTGACCCTTGCCGCCTGCTCAACACAGGAGACCTTACCCAAACCTGGTTAAACGGTTGTCCAGCCTATTCAAAAATCCCCTCAACCACCATCCCGCTCTCCAGCTCAGCTTTCCAATTCTTTGGACAGAGATTTCGCCAACAATTTTGCCTTGTTCCCACGATGAGAGTATATTTGCTGAACAAAACTCCACATCGGCAACAAGAAAGGCAGCTGGCCATTAAAAAACACTCTGCTAGTTCCATTCATTCGCCCTGATTTCTTTGTTTAAAGAAATTGATAATTATATTATTTAAAAAGAATGTTGAGAAGCTCAAATGAGGGGAAGATGGATTTTGGATTTGAAGCCAGTCTGCTCCCCAACTTCCCCTTCCGCCGCCCCAAATCCAGGGGGATAACGAAGACCCCAAAGTTCGTGGTTTTTTGTTTACCTTTGGAAATGGGTGATTTTACTCCCGGGGTAGATTTCGGTGTAACGAAAATAGCGATTTAAGCCGAAAAGATCTAAGAGCTGTCGGGCTCCTTGAATCTCGCCTGTCCTGCGAGGGGAAAGGATCAGACGCTTGAGATCCCGCAATAGGGACTAATTTTTTACCCCGAACGGGGTGCGTTCACACAACATGCTTAACTCGGTTTGCTAAAGTTTGCCTGTTTGTTTTAAAATCAAACTGGGATGGTCGGAAGGTCGTAAGTGTGAAAAACCTATTTCCCTGCTGTTGTAATTTCGAATGGACACTCACCGAACCGTTGTAAGTCAAGGACTACCTATATTCACCACAAGCAAGGCCCCAATTTACCGAGAGGCCGCTGCCATGGCGATCCCTTCGCTATCCAACTGGTGCAGCACTTCTGGCACTTCTGGGTAGAGCTGAACGGGCCGTTGGTTGCGGTCTCGCACGGAGCCATCGCTGGGAAGAATTCAGACAAAAATTGAACTTAGCTTGTTTCCTACCCAAGACCAAAACACTACAGATCTTTTTGACTTGACTTATGACCATAATTGGGACGGTAATTTCCATCCCAGAATTGCCTAGCCAGGATGGGTGGACTTCAACTCCCAGAGTTCTCTAGCCAGCACCAATGGACTTCAACTCCCAGAATTCCACAACCAGTATCGGTGCACTTCAACTCCCATAATTCTCTAGCCAGTACCAATGGACTTCAACTCCCAGAATTCCACAACCAGTGTCGGTGCACTTCAACTCCCATAATTCCACAGCCAGTGTCGGTGCACTTCAACTCCCAGAGTTCTCTAGCCAGCACCAATGGACTTCAACTCCCAGAATTCCACAGCCAGTATCGGTGCACTTCAACTCCCAGAATTCCACAGCCAGTATCGGTGCACTTCAACTCCCAGAGTTCTCTAGCCAGCACTAATGAACTTCAACTCCCAGAATTCCAGAACCAGTATCGGTGCACTTCAACTCCCAGAATTCTCTAGCCAGCACTAATGGACTTCAACTCCCAGAATTCCACAACCAGTATCGGTGCACTTCAACTCCCAGAGTTCTCTAGCCAGCACCAATGGACTTCAACTCCCAGAATTCCACAGCCAGTATCGGTGCACTTCAACTCCCAGAATTCCACAGCCAGTATCGGTGCACTTCAACTCCCAGAGTTCTCTAGCTAGCACTAATGGACTTCAACTCCCATAATTCCACAGCCAGTACCAATGGACTTCAACTCCCAGAATTCCACAACCAGTATCGGTGCACTTCAACTGCCAGAGTTCTCTAGCCAGTACCAATGAACTTCAACTCCCAGAATTCCACAACCAGTATCGGTGCACTTCAACTGCCAGAGTTCTCTAGCCAGTACCAATGAACTTCAACTCCCAGAATTCCACAACCAGTATCGGTGCACTTCAACTCCCAGAGTTCTCTAGCCAGCACCAATGGACTTCAACTCCCAGAATTCCACAGCCAGTATCGGTGCACTTCAACTCCCAGAGTTCTCTAGCCAGCACCAATGGACTTCAACTCCCAGAATTCC